AGCAAGGAAGCCTCATGCTCGCTTCCAGCTGCCTGGCTGCCGGCCGCCATCTTGGCTGACAGTTAATTTGCATAAGGATATGCTGATTAGCCAATGGGAAGGGTAGCGGTCGTACGCCAATTACCATGTTTCTCTTTTATTAGTGTAGATGTTTTATAAATTTAAGCTCACTTACGTATAGTGATTTTCATGTTTTGTAGTATACTATACATAGAGACATTAAGATTATATTGAGTATATTAACGATCATATTGTTTCTTCTTACGATATACTATACATTATTGTAATTAACTATTATACTTAATTATTAGTATTATTAACTAAAGGTTCATCATTGTGGCAAAAATGGGAATTTATAGTTCATTAACTAAATGTTTTTTTAGACTAATTTACATGCTTTTTTGTATACATGCTAAGTGTCATGATGTATAAAATGAAATGAATATAACTCATCATAGATTTTGTTTTTCATAGGTATTGTCACTGTCTACTGATTATATTATTGACCCTACTTTATGTTCCCCAGGTTACTGGAGTTGGCTACAATTCATTTGGAGAAGTGATTGTCGATGGTGATGTTGTTCATGGATTCTGTAACGCAGCTGTTAGCAGAATTGTTGAGGTAAACATTTATTCCCTGAGAAGGTGACTTTCTTTTTGTTGTTGTTGTTAATCCTCAGCGTAGGATATTTTTTCAGTTAATTTTTAGAGTGAAAAGGGTAGGGGGAGAGAGGGAGAGAAACATTGATGTGAGAGAGACACATAGATTGGTTGCCACCCATATGCACCCCAACCAGGGGCAGGGGATCACATCTGCAACCCAGGTATGTGCCCTTGATCAGGAATCCAACCCATGACCCTCTGGTGGGTGGGCTGACACTCTACCATTGAGCAACACCGGTCCGGGCAGAAGATGACTTTCTTTATAATGACTTAGGACACAGTGATGGGTTCATAGTTTATGTGTATTTCTCTTAGGCGGGCTGTGTGTGCAATGATGCTGTAATTAGAAATGACACTCTAATGGGGAAGCCAACAGAAGGAGCCTTAATTGCTCTTGCAATGAAGGTATGTATCTAATCTCTCTTCTTTGTCATATAAAATACCACCCTTACGAGAGAATGTGAGGCCATCAGTTTCAGTATTACTGGTTTTAGGTACATTGTTTTTACTGCCTTTTGGGAACCAGTTTTAGTCTTCCTGGAAATACAAAGCATAGAGCTTTTTCAGTATAATTTTATCCCTTAAATGCAAGAAACAGTGATGGATTTCTTCTAATGAGATGTTTCTGTTGTCCGGTTAGAGTGTTTTTGTGAAAAACTCTGTGTGTGTTATTGCTGATAAATACTGACTTTCAAATGAGTTAAGGACACCACTCTAGTATTTCCATGTAAAATTACTAAGAATATCATGAGAAATCAGCTTTTTCTGGTTGACCCTTTCCCTTCATTATTTTTTTAAAATATATTTCTATTGATTTTTTTTTTTTTAGAGAGAGGAAGGACAAAGAATAGAAAGATAGAAACATCATTGAGAGAGAAACCATCGATCAGCTGCCTCCTGCACACCCCCTGTTGGGGATCAAGCCCACAACCCAGGCATGTGCCCTAACCAGGAATTGAACCAGTGACCTCTTGGTTCCTGGGTTGACAACCACTGAGCCATACAGGCTGGGCCCCTTCATTATTTCTTAAAATGAGTCCAGAATTAGAATTTGTGTTAGGGAGACAAGGTGCTGTTTCAGTGACCCTTTTATCTATTTCAGTTGATCTCTTCTCCTAAGTCCTACATTTGATTAAATGAGAAATCTAAAAGTCTAATCTGTCATTCCCAAACAAAAATAAAATTTCTACTTTTAAGAGAAATTAGAAAACTTTTAGACTTTGTGAAATAGAATATGCCTCTAAATGAGGTTACTTGAATTGAATCCAATATTGAAATGTTGGCTATTATAACACTTAATTTTAGAAAACAAAATAGATATTTTTAGAATATATGTTTCCTTAACAGACAGTATCATTTTGTTATCATTTGTTCTCCTTGCAACTAAAATAACATAGTATATAGCTTTATATAATAAAAGCCTAATATGCAAATTGTCTCCTCAACCAGGAATTTGACTGAGAGTTCGACCTGGGGGCAGGGCCGGCAGCGGCAGGCAGCCAGGGGAAGGGAAGCGCCCCGGGCTGCAGCCAGCAGCCTCTTGGGACCCTACCCGTGCACGAATTTCATGCACTGGGCCTCTAGTAGCTTTATAAAAGACATTCAAAAGTTGAATCTGTTAACAAGATTTACTATGTTATACTTAACTTTATCTCTGAGAGTTAAAGAATATGAAACCAGTTCCATATGGGTGGGGAACTCACATTGTAGGTAGGACATTAATACTGATGTGCTCGGAACAAATAAAAGGCAGACCAAGATAGTAGATAGTTAAGTCCTAAACATAAGAACAGTGCCAATTCAGACTAGGGACCTGGGCTTTGAAGGATAGGAAGGATTTAGATAGTAGGTAAGCTAGAAAAAGCACAAATAAAAGCATAGAGTAATAAGTAAGCATAGAATGGATTTTTGGCTTGTGAATTGGTTAACCTGGATGAAATGGAAGGAGTTTGAGTAACTCGGGATTGTTAAATAGACTATGTGGTCAGTTTCTGAGGACTTTTGAAAGCCAGGAAGTAGTGTCTCAACATGTTTCAGTAGACAACAAAAAGTCAGCAAAAGCAATGAACTAGGTTTTAGAGTAGTTTAAAAAATATTTTTGAATATTTGGAGGAAAATGCAAAGGGGTATTGGAGGGAAAACAGCTACATGACATTGGTAGTAGTCAGAATATCAGTGTTAGGGTGAGTGTATAAGGGAGTAGAATGGGAGCAACAGGTAAGATAAGAGTTGAATCCCTAAGGAGTGAAGAATTGAATCTGAAATTTCTATTCATTATAAAAGTAAATGCTCAGTATTGGTTGAGTACCTTTTGTTGTCTCCTGATTCTATCCAGAATTGAGTCAGTAGAGGTTTTTATATAGTCAGTGTTGAAGACTTAGTCTATGTATAGTCCAGGTATCTAAACACCCAGGCTTTCATGTTGAATATGTTTTCTGCTATTCAGAGAAATATGGTATATATAAATGGAATACTGCTGTTCTGTCACCGTTATTTGAAAAATAATCCATGTATCTCTAGCTAGCCTAACTGCAAGTTATGACCCTTGTTCATGTTAAAGGAAAAAATAGTCATATGCTGGTGAGAATTAACTTTCTTTTTGTGCTGTACAGATGGGTCTTGATGGAGTTCAACAGGATTATATCAGAAAAACTGAATATCCTTTTAGCTCTGAGCAAAAGTGGATGGCTGTTAAGTGTGTACACAGAACACAGCAGGTATCTTTCCATTTAAAGAATACTTATTATATCTTGTTTAACATAGATGATTATTTTTTATTTTTTGTCCACCTTTAGATTTAAATAGTTATTGAGCATAACAAAGACCTGTTGTTTTAAAGTGTGTATATTCGTAGTATATAGTATATTCATCCCTTGCTATTTTAGTGTTCTCTTTGACTTTGTGCCTAGATATATCCAATTTTGCTGTGTGAGCAAACAACTTAAATGAATTAGAGCCTGTTGTCAGTTTCCTAGAGTTTATGACATTAGATTCTTTCAACGTATATTTTGTCCTGATGACAGACTACTATAGATCTGCTGTTCATTCACTGAAGGAATGTCTTTTCTTCAGAACGAACAAAACCACATTATTTTGTGAATCATATGTGTATAATTCATGATAGTTGATCCAGCTTACAAACTGGCAAAATTACATGCACTGATATTTCAAGCTACTAGCTTGTGCCTGGGTGCTTTAGAAACTTTTACATAGTTGGTGTAATAAGAGTTCTACAATGTACAGTTTATCACTCATTATTGGTATATACCAGCTTAATGCTCAAACTTACTTTGCCTATATATATATATATTTGTTATTTTTACATTTACTTTATTAGGTATTAATTGGTTATGTGTTTTCACCTGTGAACAAACATTTTGACACCAATTACACCTCTGTAGACAGGAGTGAGAGCATTTCCTCTCATGCAAAATAAGTAGGAAGCATGCTGGTTTTAAAAGAAAGGCCAAGTTGGCCAACCTTGAATTTGTTAAATCTGTCAGGAACTCTGTTCATGAGGGAACAGAAAGATATCTGTCTAATCTTTAAAGGTACTTTTATAAATTCTTGGGAAGCTACATATTTGGAAAGAAAACTATAAAAATAAAATGCCTGATATTTTAAACCTTATAACATAAAGCTTTTAAAAATTGCCTAAGATAGTTTTCACCTGATGTTCCTTGACCATCTAGTTATATAGCAAGAATATCCAATATAATAAAAGGCTAATATGCAAATTGTCCCTTCGACCGGGAGTTCGACCAAGGGGCGGGTCCAGCCAGCCAACTGCCCGCGGCCCCTCCCCCTGGCCAGCCCTGCCTTGCCCCTGATTGATTTCCCCACGCTGATCAGGGGCGGGGCCGGCCTGCCAACAGCCTGCAGA